ATAACTGTAACTATAACTATAACTATACTGTAACTGTAACTATAACTGTAACTATAACTATAACTGTAACTATAACTATAACTATAACTGTAACTATAACTGTAACTGTAACTATAACTGTAACTATAACTATAACTATAACTATAACTGTAACTGTAACTGTAACTATAACTATAACTGTAACTATAACTGTAGCTATAACCTCCCGCCATAAGAACAGTTTCTTCCCCTCTGCCATCGGACTCTTGAACACTCATAATCACAGTATTTTATTCAACCTTTATTTAAACAGGTAAATCCCATTGAGCCTCAAGGACTCATTTACAAGAGAGACCTGATTTCATCAAAGAATGATGACAACAATGGACAACAGTGACAGCAACAAACAGTTATAAAAAGTCATAATTATTATTATTTTTTTTACAAATAGGATGGCTAAAAAAAAAGAAAAGAAAAGTAAAAAAGAAAAGAAAAGTAACAAAAAACAGCTAGATTCCAAGACAAATGTATAAAACTAAAACAGGAACATGTCTGCATTGGTCCCTGCCAGGAGTCCAACAGATTCTTAAAGCCACTTAGAGAGGTCAAGGTCGAGAGCTTCAAATCTTTTTGTAAGATATTCCAGGAAACAGGAGCGGAGTAGGAGAAGGCCCTTTTGTCTAGTTCAGTCCTCACTGAGGGAACACTGCAGGTAATAATGTCCTGAGAGCGCACGCTGTAGCTGCACTCACGCAGAGACATGTAGGAGGAGATGTATGAAGGCAGCAGACCAAGAAGTGATTTAAAGATTACAATGTACCAGTCTGCGTGAATTTAACGATGTCCAGTTAACCAGTGAATACTGGGTGCAGTGGTGGGTACGATAATCACAGCCAGTTATGAATCTTAGTGCACCATGATAGACAGCATCCAACATCTGCAGCATCCAACATCTGCAGGGTTCTTGTTGGAGCGTTCATGTAAATAGTATTTTATTTTTTACAGTATTTTATAACTCTGCTTTGGTCACTTTATCACTGTAATTTAATTGCATTAATCCAGCTGCATGTTTTTTCTGAGTATTTTATTGTATTGGTACATATGTTTTCTTTTAACTTTTAAATTTTATTTGCACTTTTATGCGGAAGCAGTCTAGTCTGTGAATCCTGTTCATTGACGATGGCAATAATAAACTGAATCTGAACTTGAACCAGTCTTTTGTAAAGATGTGTGTTTGGTTCTTGACATCACCCGGCTGCATAATTTGCACTCATTTGTCTGAAAAGGTGACTTCTACAAACGTGTCCCATATTTTGTAGCTCATGCAGAGATGCATCCTCTTTGATTGCACTTAATGTTTAAATTAAGGCTTTATTTGACAAAATGAGCAACTTCTCCTTTTGCTTTTCTTTGTGGTTGCAGATTCTTGCCATAAAAGGCAACGTGGAGTCCATCCCTATCATGCTCGTGGGAAACAAAAGTGATGAAACCCATCGGGAGGTGGAGACCAAGGACGGGGAGGCCCAGGCCAACCACTGGAAGTGCGCCTTCATGGAGACGTCTGCCAAAACCAACCACAACGTCACGGAGCTCTTCCAGGAGCTTCTCAACCTGGACAAGAAGAGGAACATGAGTCTGAACATCGACGGCAAGCGCTCCGGAAAGCAGTCCCGTGCCGAGAGACTGAAGGGCAAATGCAGCGTGATGTAGATCCCAAAGGAGAAGGATCGGGGGTGGGGGGAAGCGAAGAAAGGGGGAAGGAAATACCAATCGGGAGGAGTAAAGATGGCTGGACACCAGAGAGATGCACCAATCAGAAAAAAAAATCATCCTGACACAGCAATGGGAGTCTCATCATCCTTTGTTTGGAAGCTGTGGGTGGAAGTGAGAGGGAGGCAAAGCACAGATCTCAGTTTGCAGCGATACTTTAAAAAAAAAAAACATCTTTAATATCTCCTCTTCAGCATCCGCGCTCCCCTGCCCACATCCTCCTCATCCTCTGCATCCCCAAAATAACTCTAGAAAATGTAACGTAGACGTAATAACTCTGACAAACTTAGTTAAGCCCACTCATCTGTCGTCCGTCATGCAAGTAAGAACGGTGGGACTCGTGAACACATGCGACCCAGGCACATGGGCAGAGGGCTCGGGTGTAAATACACATGGGGTGGGTGTAAATATGGTCCATAGCTTAAACAGGTTTTGCTCCAGCTAACCTCTACAATCAAAGACGCAACGTTTGTGGTTCAAGGACTGGATCTCCTTTAAAAAGACCTTCTTTACATCTATCATGCTGTCGCTGTGGAAGAACTGGTCAGCGGACGCTCTCATGTCCTCCTGTGAGGTGAGGGGGTGTTTGTTAACACTGGCAGGACGCAACAATCCTTTCAAGACTCGAGTGTGGGAGAAAGGACGAACGGAAACTCACGTCGCGCAAACGGAAACAAGTCCCCGTTGTCTACGAGGATGAAATGATCACACGGCTGGTGAAGGAACTGGGGCGGTGTTTGGACTGGAGGTCAGGAAGTTCATCTTGATTTGGCACCATTTCGTCTGACGGTTTCTTCCGATGCCTTTTGTTTCCCTACGGTTTGTTTTGTAAAGCTCGGAAGAAAGTTGATTTCAAAGCACACAGAGGCGTAGGCGAAGTCGCTCCGTGCAGACGTTTTAGTGAATCTTTTCTGATTGGTTTGGTTGTTTCGCACGCAGAACGAGGCGCACGCTCATAAACACGCTGAGCACCTGTGCGAATAAGAGCGCAAACACGTCACGGCTCACTCAGCTTGAACGCCGTCACATTGCACTTTAGATCATATCCACACGTTTTATTTCCAGTGTTTTCGCCGGCCGTGACAGAAACATTCTTGGTTAGTAGCTGTGCTGTGAGCCCAAAGTGCACGTGAACACCGGTTCTCCACGCAGGAGCTCTTAACGTTGTACAAGCACAATATTTTTACCAACATATCTGTGCGTTCTTTATGTTTCTTGTTTGTGTATAGTTTTTCCCCTAAAGTCCATCTTAAAGGTATCCACCAGTCCTGAGAATGACGGAACAATTCTTAACACCATTAGTAGTCTTTAGCTTTAACGCTTTATCTTCTTGTGGCACAATAAAGTTGTGATTCTGCTGAAGCAGTGAAGGTTTACATGATTTATCTCCGTTTCTCAGGCGGTTTAACAGCAACTTGTGTGGAGGAGAGCTCGTTTTAAACCCAAAGATGCAGACGACGAGCACAGCATTTGTGTTTTTGTGTGTGCTCCTCTCTGTCACGTTCAGCAGGATCAACAACTGGGCACTTTACGGGTGACATTTTCCTTGAAGACTTGCGTATGAATCAGCGAAGCTTCGTCCACGAGCATCGTGTAAAATGACCCGCGCGCATCGTCTGTGCCCGTTAATGTTGCAGCTGTGCAGTTTCTGTGAATAAGCGCGTGGTTGTTCGAGCAAATGTCTTTAAGTGCTTCAAGTAGGATGTTACCCAAAAAAAAAAAAAATGCTGAAATGTTACAGCTGTTGTAACATGCAGCTGATTTACACTCATTTATTTTATTTACTGCCCTTCATGAAAAATCTGCTAGATAATACAGTAGTCCCTCGTTTATCATGGGGGATCCGTACCCTGAAGACCCATGATAAGTGAAAAACCACGAAGTAGGAATAGTAGTACAAGTAGTAAGTAGTACTGGTAGTTTATTAGCACCACATGTGGTACATGTGGTGGAACGAAATGTTGTAAACAGGGTCCCAGTTTCATCCAACAATAAAACGTAAACGAAAAACAGTAATAGCATCTAAGATATGAACTAAGAAAAACATCAGCTAAATATACACTAAGCACTAATAGCATAAAAACAATACATCGAACAGCAGCACGAACATGAGTCTGTGTGAGCAGATCAGCAGCAACATGAAACAGATCAGCAGCAGCATGATGTGATTTTTTTTCACAGTGATTATCCTGATTAGAGATTCACGAGTCTAACAACTTCAGTGTAGAAGCTGTTCCTCAGTTCTACACTTAATGCTCCTTATCCTCCATTCTGAGGGCAACGGGGCAAAAAGTGTGTGTGCTGGGTGTGTGGGGTCCTTCATGATGCAGGTGGCTCTCTTCCTGCATCAGGGGCGTTAGTGAGGCCGAATGGCATTACTAGATATTCAAAATGTCCAAGTGGTGTCCTAAAAGCAGTCTTCCACTCATCCCCTTCTTTGATTCT